TCTTTTGAGGATAGTTCATGCGGTACCAGATGGATTTGAGAATCGAGGCAAAAGGAGTAACACCAATACCGGCACCACAAAGCATAGCGACTTCGAATTTGAAAACATCCTCAGAGGCGGAACCGAATGGACCATCGACATAGACACGGGGTAAGATGCGACGAATAGCCGAATCAGCTCCATCAGATCCTGGTGAGCCTTGATTGACACCAACAACTTGAGATCCTCCCTTTCCATCCTTTGGCTTATCGAATTCACATCCAAGGGCTTTGCCAACAGCTCTAGTAAAATCTCCTACCATTCTAATATGAATGGAAATATAATCTTCTTCGGGAGCCGATGTGAGAGTGAAAGGATGGTATTGATAAATCGAGACCTCGGGACAACAGAAGAAGATATATTGACCAGCTCTTGTCTTTGTATTCTCTTTCTTGATCTGAATTTCGCAAACGTTGGAAGGATGTTGAACAACCTTCGAAACATAGGTCTTATGCTTCCCGCGGATTTCACGTGCAATACGTTCAGCGAGGTAAATGTAACCACCATACATCCAGTATTGCCAGAAGACACCAATAGCCGATGTACCAACACTAACACAGTAAGGTGCGGTATCTGGTTGAATCATGCAGAAAGCTCCGTGGACGGACCAGAATACAAAGAAGATGACGAAAAAGTGATGGGTATACCAAAAACGTTCAAAGTTTGCCCGACGATACTTTTCGTATGAAGTAATAGCCATAGCCATAAGAGCGACCAGCATAACATACCCAGTCCATCCAGGTCCACTAACAAAGTTGGCAAGGAGGAAACCACCAATACCGAGATTATTCTTTGCTGAAATTTGAGCAAAGTTGTTCCAATGCGCAATAGTGTGTACCCAAGAGAAGAATACAATAGACCAAGCTGTAAGCATATGGAATGTGATATTCTTATCAAATTGTACAATGCCGTTCAAAGGAGTTTGACGTGCCAAAGAGATCAAAGTACGACAAACCGGAAACAAAATCATAGCAACATCGAAATGTAGCGTCAAAGCAGCGGATCTAGCAATCGCATAGGTGACGGTAAATGTGCTTCGAGCAATGCCAAAACTATCCTTGAGCTGATAATTCAAGAAACCGAATGTGAAAACCATGACATGAAGTAAAGCGAAAACGAAGACGAAACTGAGATGATGTTAGTAACTCGATGCTTCCCACGATTCTAGTCACAACCCACAATCGTCGATATCCCTCGTTAACCATCCATCTGTCGAATCTCTCCCTCATCGTCAATTCCCTCGGCATTTCCGCCGTCATCTCACCAGACATCAACATTCTCGTCAATGGTGGCCATCTTGATCTCTCCGAAACCCTCACCGATCCCGTACTCATTCTATCATAAGCCTTTTCAGACATCTTAAACTTTGCGACCTAGAATCGTAACTTCTGAAGGTCTTTTTTTTATATAGAAAATTTCTTCCGTCTTCCTTCTCGTCCAAATTATACGTGGGTATCGTGGTAGTATTAAAGGGTAATATGATTCAGGACCTGCTGAATAGACAGAAGTTCCCAAAAGCAAGTAATCGTAAAAACGAAAGAAAATTATTTGAATGAACGTAAAAACGATAAAAGCCTGTTGAAAAACCCCCAAAAACTGTCAGTAACTGAGTTCATTCCAACTTGTGACATGATTGCCAGAGAAGTAATACAACCATCAACAAGACACTCGGCGTCCAAATTCAAAACGTACCTGTAATCAATGCCTGCACCGATGGCTGTCCCAAAATCAGCGAGTTAATATCGAAAGTTGTATGACTTCACTTTGCAGAGATCCCGAAAAGAAAAGACAAGAGAAATCCAAGAGAAGAGGTGTTCAGAGCAGAGAGGAAGAAACGAGGAAACTTTCTGCCAAGCAGAAGGAGGGAGGAAGGTAATGTCACAAAACATTCAGAACATCACGTTTATGCATGGGGAACAGGATGTGATGGCCTGACAATTAGATTCGTATGGAAGTGTCTGAGCATAACGTATAGAACAAATCCAGTCTCATGGGTTCGAGAGTCGAGAAACCAGCGTCTCTGAGTTGCAATGGGTGGTCGAGAGAGGGGCTTCGAAACAGTGATAGTGGTGGCCATCGTTGACTAGGGAGTTTAAGGTCTAGTCTCATCAGCTTTTTGGACGTGTGAGAGATGAAAATTCTTCGAGCAGGATTGCCGAAAGGTACGTGGAGAGAAAATGGTCGAGGGGAGGATTGGGGATTGATGTTACATGGGTTGAGAGGGGCCGTGGTTGGTCTGTTTGATATGGGGTTCTAAATTGGTTACGGATAACCTTAATAAGCGCGAATCGGAGCAACAGTTATTATCCTATACATCAAGGATACGAAGTTCACCCGTTCACGCGTTCACTCGGTTGTTGCTTGGGTTGACCCATTAACTGACTGTATTAAGGATTACGAGAATGTTGCTGTTCTGGTGTTGAATTTTAATCTCATCTCATGATAAGTCATATCCTATCTCATCCTCACGAAAACAGACCTCGCCCCCTACAAACCACCCAAATCCCACTCGCCACACCTCTCACCATCCCATACACAACCCCGTTTGCGAAACCTCCAGGGCTCCCAAGTGTAACCCCCAAGCCTCCTAATCCCATCGTCGTTCCAGAAATCCCCGCCCGAAACCTGCCCAGAGCGCTGCGCGAGCGTGCGAGCCTAGCATGCATTGCGAAAAACTGAAACCAGAATCATCTAAGCCATCATCAGTAGCCAATCAGAATACACACACATCTGACATGATCGTACAACGACTACCCTTAAAATATCCAAGATGTTTGATGCACTTTTGAGGCTCAGAGAATTAACAAGAAGAAAAATTGGCGGCGGCAAAGCCTTGTCCTATCGAATTTGTGAGTTTGGATATGGGAGCACCAGGAGTGTGGCTGGCAAGTGTAGCTGATGATGAAGGGGTACCATTCGAGTCTCCTCAAAGCTTATTTGCGCCCTGTGGATAACCAAATATCAAAGTATTCAACATTGGCAACGGCGCGCATGATGCTGATACTAATTAATCAGATACAATACCTATATCAGCGTGCGATATCCCAACACAATTGTATGATCTCCCCAGCCTTGCTACACTATTTTCTTCTCCCATCAGCTCACATTTCCATTTCCATTACGCATCTCTGACCCCCAAGAAAAATCCCTTGAATCGAACAATCAATAGGTATCTTGAATGATCGGCTGCAATGAGAATGTTCTCAGTAATCGCTCGACTAAGTATCTATACGATCTATACATAGATAGATAGACAGATACAACTCAGCAATCCGTACCGAGAACTCCCCTCATCGACCATCCTTCCGTCGATCCCCTACCTACGCAACACAAAGAACACAAACAAATACCACTCCAACGACAAATCCACCCTGCCACACATACCCCTCCAAGCCCAAGCATCTCGACAAATCTCTTCCTACACCCACTCCGCTTCACACATATCCCCACGTAAACCGATACGTAGTACATACCATACATAGTACATCAAAATCAGCCCACATCACCATCTCAAACTCACACTCGCACCTCTGTAAACCCCAAGAATCAAAACGCGAAGAATCGGTAAAATTCCCGTTTGATACCTATTGATGAAGTACAAGGAGCCCCGTATACACATACAGTATCCGGTATTCAGTGCCGAGCTTAGGTTAAGCTAGCTAGCTAGGTATGAGTTTTATATCGACTTCGTGCATGTATGATTACAAACCCATAAAGAGTACCGGTATCTACTATACAGATATTATGATGAAAGCACCGACTCTAGATACATACAGAGACACAGTATTCGCACCGGGAGAGAAAAAGTCATGAGAGTTTCAAGATACATCTTTGCAACCTAGTACCTATACATGTTCCAATTCCATTCTTTCCCCTAACCTTTCCTCCATTCCACCTCTCTCTCACATCCGCATCCCTTCCCTCCGCCTTGAGAATCTCTACAAATCTCATCACCCACACACTCACCCATCATAACACAACCTCTCCAGCCCCTCCCCCTCGGTCCCGAATCCTCAACACACATACCCTCACCCCCCTCCAATTCCTCACGAGTCACCACTCCCTCCCTCCCCACAAACCTCAAACCCCAAACGTACCATGCATCTTCCCTCCATGCATCTTTCCTCATCCCTCATGCCTCTCTCTACCTTCTACCCTCTACCCCCATCCCTCTCCTTCCCTCCCACCCCTCCGAAACATTTCCAAAGCCCCACACCATCAAACCCAAATCTCAAACATCAAACATCAAACATCCTCACAACAGTCAGTTATTCAGACAGATAGACCCACTCACCATGTCAGAATCAACCCAAACGCTTACACACTCACAACTTACACAACTTACACACCTACCATCACTTCCCCATCCACCCATACATTACACGTGCACACACAACAACAAGAAGAAGAAGAACAAAAGATCATCGCCATCACCATCACCATCCCAACAACTCCCCAGCAACACGCATCACCCCAATCCCAACCCCAATCCTCCTCCCTACTCAAATCCAAATCCAAATCCAAATCTCACCCCATATACCTAGTACCCCAGCTACAATCCTCCTCCTCCCCCCCGCTCCTCCCCTCACACCCAAACCAAACAGAAAATACTTCCATCCTAAGCCCCCATAACAGAAACGTTGACCAAAAACCAACCAACAAACAAACAAACCAACCAAACACACAAACCAAACCAAAGAACCATATAAATAAATCCAAAAGTAAAACAATGAAAGAAAGAACTTAGTTCATATTACCCTTACCATAAATGCCATAGACAGATGGATCACTCAGTTACCTTTCATACCCAGTATTGTGTTACGGAAGGGCAGATGGATAACACTAAAACATCCATCAAATTCCACATTCTTTCACCTACATCACATTTCACACAATACCATGTCTCAATTTCACATCTTCACTCATTCACAACTACCACCCACCACCCTCCCCAACGTTGCATCACGAACGAGAAGGAACAGCAAATCACAAAGTAAGAAAAGCTCCGAGTAATGCTATGGACCTGAATATCAAAGAATAGGAGGAATAGTAAGAAAAAGGCGGTGACGACGACGACAACCCGTTCATCATGCAACATGATCATCTAATTCCCCAAGCACATCCCTTATTTATCATCCATCACCACCCATCCATTCATTCATCATATTGCATTCTTCCGATATCTATCCACGACAAATCTTTCTCGCCTCTCCCACAATTTCTGCCCCAATCCATCGCAAAATATTCCCCCCAAGCAGTAGCGCTTACAAGTCTGCCATGTAATGTATTTCGTGTGTAAAAGAGTAAAGTACCTAAGTAAACCCAGACCAAAAAGTTGTCCATTCATCGAGTTTCGTTGACGCCAGCAAATCCTTTACGCAATAGGATAGAATAGAAGAGATAGAAAGAACACAGAGGAAATTCATCAACCCATCCATTATTCCGATCCGTCATGCTTTGTCATATGTAATTTGAAGGTTATAGTAGGTAATTTAGATGGCGTATTTTCGGGTCCATTCTCTGGCTGTGGCCTCATATCTAGATCGGTCGGTCTTGTAGACGTGTGCGATCTCTGGAACAAGTGGGTCATCGGGGTTGGGGTCGGTGAGCATGGAGCAGATGGACAAAAGGACTAAAATCAATGATTAGTGGTAATTTAACAAAGTGTAATGAAAGTGACAATATACCTTTAGAGATAGTCAAAGCTGGGGACCATTGATCTCTCAAGATGTCTAAACAGATGCTTCCGTTCGAGTTGATGTTTGGGTGATAGATTCTGGTTGTGAAGCTGACCTTGGGAGGCTTGAATGGGTAGTCGGTAGGGAAATGGATGGCGAGGAAGAAGACACCTCCGGTATATGGCGAGTCAGACTGGTAAAGATGTTAGTAAATTGAAAGATGATCATGATAACTCATGAATTCCGAGATTTCAAAGATCGTTGGCCGAAGGGCGTCGGATCAAAGAGACTTGAAGATAAGATCAAACTTACAGGACCCATGATAGTAGCTTGCCAATGGAACTAAATGAAACAAATAAATGTTAATATCCTCTCTTCGATACATCTTACTTGTCATGACATGATATCCATCTTGAGCGCATTCCAAGGTATTCTGTGCCTCGAAGGGGCATCAAATCTTGAAGGAGGAACAACATACCAAATCGTCTCCTATAGGGCCAGCAGAGCATGATGAGGGAGGGTCACTATTCAAACATCATATTAGCATACTATTCCCAATACCATCCATACGAGATATCATCGCCGTCATGAAGTTTTGGATAATCCTGCACCAGACCCCGCTCACGAAGTAGCCCCACCAAGATCTTTCCAACGTCGTGGCGGTGACCAAAAGGACAAGAGATATAACGTACCGGCCCAAGTCTGTGAGTTCCTTGTTGATTCTCTTCAAAGCCATTTTGAAGTATGTATTATTGTGTGGAGGGTGTTGTGTAGTGTGAAGGGTTGTCGAGTATGTTGATGAATTTCTCGAGGTTGCAGTAGTTTAACGGACTGGTGAGTAAGTGGTCTGGGATTTCTGGTAGACACGATTTTGTTGTTAGCGACCGACCACCCATAAAAAAAAACACGCGAGCGGCTATGCCGAAGATGACGGAAGGGGATAGAGATTGTGGGTACGAGATGGTCAAGAAGAGAGAAGCGGTAAATCTTTATATCAATGTATTTGGGAGAGTCGTGTAGATATTGTAGTCAAATACATAGAGAAATAAAGAGTGCGGGAGATTTTAAATGGAATAACAAGTAAGATCATGGAGTACATACCAAAAGGTTCTTGACTTTTTGTTGTCCTTGAGTAGAGAGAGGAGAGAGGAGAGGGTAGAGGGTATTCTTTCTTTTGAATACTAGGTGGGTAGGTGGGTAGGTGGGTAGGTTACTTTGGGGAAAGATGGGAAGAAGAGGAAGAGAAAGAAGAGGAAGAAGAGTTCTTTCAAAAACGGAGTATCTTTCCTTGAATTCAGTTACCAGGTATTTATCAAGAAGAAGTCGCAAGTCGGAGTCGGAGTCGGAGTGAGTCTGTGTTAGATCATAACTGTACGGTGAATGTTCTTGGGCAGCCAGCCGTCGTTTTGCCTTTGCTTTTGGTTTGCCTCGTGCCTTGGCCTATTCGCTTCGATTTTGGGCTGCGAAGGAGCGGCAAAAGTGCAGTATGAATGCGCAGTATGCAAATATCATTCCAATCTATGATATACTCCCATACAATTATTCAGCTATAAGTTTATTCACTCCTCTTCTTTTATTAACAAATCATATAACCACCTACCAGTACCACAGAAATTGAAGGATTCACTTCGAACTTACTTGAAGCTTACTAATTTCTTGTCAACTCTTCACAATTCATGAGCAATCACGCAGTGGATGGTGGCTATGACACCATGACAATTCACATGTGCATGGCATGGAAGAGAAGGCCATCAACGACATTTACCTGAGTAGGTACCTACCTAGGTAATGTATCTTCAAATCCATTCACGAAACATAATAAGCTTTACCAATCCATTCAAATATCTACCTTTCATTCAACATACATGAATTCTCTTCTTTTCCTTCCACTGTTCCCGAAAATATCCGAATCGTGGCAAAATTTCAAAGCCTTTTCTCCACGAGAAGTCAAATGTATTCGACTACCTACGTATTTCATATTCTCAAGTTTTTCATGTTAGACAAGATATAATGATTAAGATAGATATACGAGGTCCATTTCACCAAAGCTCAAGACATTGTTGACATCGATTTTCTGCTTTACATTTCTTTGTTCGATCAAGGTATCTCCTGAATAATTCCTACACATGTGTTCCTCCTATTCACCCCTTTTCAAAAAAGAAGCCTCCTTTTCAAGAGTCAAGAACCGACACCTTGATGGCCATCCCCCTCCCAGTTCTATATGGCCCAGCCAATATCTCATAGCTTCATTTCTCATTTCCATTTGCTAACTCGTTGAACTCAACCCAATTCAATCAACAAAATGCTTGAATGCCAGTAATTGCTCTTCCCAGAATCAAACCTAATGCATTTGTCAGCATTAATTCGAATCACAGCATCAACTAATAAGAAAAGATCAAGGCAAAACTTACAATGAATATCACTTTGTCCTTCATAAGTTTGGGTGACAAACAAATTCGAAACGTGTCTTCCAATACCATACTCATCACTCGCAGCATTACCACCAAAGATCTCCTGTAATGTTCTCGCATTTCGAAGTGCAGCATCGCAATTCTGTCTCTTAATCATACTGATCATCTCCGGTGCTGCTTCTCCCTTGTCCTTGAGTCTTCCAACCTGAACACAAGCCAGTGTACCAAAAGCCGCGTCTGAGACGGCATCTGCTAGCTTCTTCTGGACGAGTTGATATTTGGCTAATGGATTGCCTTTGAATTGTTTTCGTTCAAGGGCATATGTTCTCGCTCGGTCAATACAATCTTCGAGCGCGCCTGTCATACCCCAAGCAATACCATATCTTGCACTATTCAAGCAAGTAAATGGTCCTCGAAGACCCTCTACTGTCTGGAACATATTTGCTTCAGGCACTGGACACTCATCGAGTTGAATCATACCAGTCAAAGAAGCTCGAAGTCCATTTTTATCTTTCAAAGCAGGTGTTTCCAACGTCCCCGGTGGACAATCTGCTCGATCGATGATGAAACCTCTAATCTTGCCAGTCTCTTGTAACTTGGCCCATACCAAGAATACATCTGCGATTGGAGAATTTGTGATCCATGTCTTAGCTCCGGATATCGAATAATAGCCCTTCTTTGTTGGATGAGGTTTCGCAGTTGTCTCCATGGACCCAGGATCACTGCCATGATTCGGCTCTGTCAAACCAAAACAGCCCAACAATTTCCCCTTTGCCAATTTTGGCAAGTACTTCTCCTTTTGTTCTTGTGTGCCGAATTCGTCGATACCTCCCATTACCAGCGAAGACTGTACTGACATGCCAGATCGATATCCACTATCTACTCGTTCAACCGCCTTGGTAATAAGTCCCGAAGCAACATTTGATACACCAGCACAGTCGTAGCCATTAATCGTAGCTCCTAATAGCCCTAGTTCTCCCATTTCTTCGAGTATCTTTCGGTCATAATGTTCGTCTCGATATGCCTCTGTTCAACCCCTCCTTTAGCTTGCGCTCCCAACATACAATTAACAAACTTACGCAAAACTCGAGGTAACATCCGTTCCTGACAATATTGCTCCGCAGTTTCTGAAATCGCTATTTCTTCCTCTGTAAAAAGATTCTGTGCGTTTAAAGGATCTTTCCAATTAAATGGTTGCGGGGTAGCATGAGCAGCAAGACCTCTAGTAGTGATAGCTACCGGTCTCGCATTTGCCAATTGCCTACTGGCATTTCGTAATATAGGTCTATACATCTTTGGATTCGACAAGTAAATTGTATTATCACTTGAAGATGAAGAAAACGTGAGAGAGGCTGTTGGGTATGAACACTTCCCCAGATGTACTAAAGTTATAAACTAATCCGGGCCACCATTTAATTGAATTTGGAGCTCCGAGGCATGTTCGGATACAAACGGTTGTCGATCCGTGTGTACATGTTGCATTGTAAGTATCGTAGATAGGCATGTAAGGATTCAACCATGCGGTAAATCCATAATTCCGTATGAAGATGGAGAAAATCAGCCGCAGAGGTGTAAAGTATGAGCTAAAGAGGTTGACAAATCTTTACAACCACCGGTGATCATATATCGTTAGTTGACTTTGTGGTAGTAAAGGTCTTTCAAGCGGCGCCTAGATGTGAATACCCGGTAGTCTCATCTCATAGTTTCCCCCGCAAACCGATCGGATGCCTGAAATTATAGCGGCTTCTGCTGCCTAAGGCTTGAACCACTTAACGCGTGAAGATCGCGCGTCATGCACTTCATTCGCGTCAACTCCAAAATCTATCCAAAATCAAAAGTCTTCTCTCTTCCTTGACTTTTTGTAAGTTAAACCATACATCAACACCACCGCAATCATGGGTATTAAACAATTGATGTCCATCATCAAGGATGAAGCTCCTGATGCAGTTAAGGAAGGAGAAATCAAAAATCAATTTGGCAGAAAAGTTGCGATTGTAAGTACCTTGCTGCTATTCATTCTATACTTACATTTGCGCAATTAACTGACTTTGATCTAGGATGCGTATGTACTTCCTACAGTATCATCTACACTTTTTAGAAACTAACATCTTTCAGATCAATGTCCATCTATAGTTTCCTCATTGCCGTCCGCTCTGGAGGTGAGATGCTCACAAACGAAGATGGCGAAACTACCTCTCATTTGATGGGCATGTTTTACCGCACCCTCCGTATCGTCGATAACGGGATCAAACCAGTCTACGTATTCGATGGTGCACCACCAAAACTCAAGTCCGGCGAATTAGCAAAACGTTTCCAGCGCAAAGCAACTGCAACAGAAGGACTTGAAGAAGCAAAGGAAACTGGTACTGCAGAAGATATTGAGAAATTTTCAAGGAGAACCGTTCGAGTTACCAGGGAACATAATGCAGAGTGTCAGAAATTGCTGAAGTTGATGGGTATTCCATATATCATTGCGCCAACGGAGGCAGAGGCACAATGTGCTGCGTTGGCTCGAGCAGGAAAGGTTTATGCTGCGGCAAGTGAGGATATGGATACTTTGTGTTTCGATTCACCCATCCTTCTTCGACATCTCACATTTAGTGAACAGCGCAAAGAACCCATTCAAGAAGTGAGTTTGGAGAAAGTTCTCACAGGATTAAATATGGATCGCAAACAAGTAAGAAATCTTTACACCAATTCCAGACTACGGCGCAATACTAACATGATCCAAAGTTCGTAGATCTTTGTATCCTCCTCGGCTGCGATTACCTCGACCCTATACCCAAAATCGGTCCCCATACCGCCCTCAAACTCATTCGCGAACACGGCGATCTCGAAACCCTAGTCGCATGGATCACTGCGGACAAGAAAGAACGTTATGCCATTCCCGAAGATTGGCCATACCAAGACGCCCGCGAACTATTCTTCAAACCCGATGTCCGTCCCGCCGACCACGAGGATTGCGATTTCAAATGGGAAGCCCCCGACATTGAAGGGCTCGTCAAATTCCTCGTTGTCGAAAAAGGTTTCTCGGAAGATCGTGTTCGCAGCGCCGCTCAAAAACTCACCAAGAATTTGAAATCATCTCAACAAGCTAGACTGGAGGGATTCTTCAAACCAATCCCGAAGACAGACGAAGAGAGAGCAAATCTGAAGCGTAAAAATGATGAGAAGAACGAGGCAAAGAAGAAGAAGGTCAAGGATGAGAAGAAGGAAAAAGCAAAGGCGAAAGCAAAGCCTAGAGGAACTGCTTAATAAGTCTTTTAACCTTGTTCATAGCTACACTTTGGCATGAATGGGAGAAACGTGTATTATTTGCTACATCAGGGTTTGCTTTACTTTCACAGGCGCACAGGTGCACATGCATTAAATAAATGAATGAATCTTAAGAGGACAGGGCATGGAGTTCAAGGCGGTAGGTAGGTAGGGAGGTAGCATAATATATTCCTGCTTTGGGCGGTATATTGAGATATACCTAGCATCCATGAATACCATAGTAAATCGATTCGCTACCAATAAATCCAATACACTATACTACAATAAATCCAATAAATTGCTCAAATACATTATTGACCTCCCGAGGTCATTACAGATACCAGTTTAGTTTAGGTTTATCCCCACTAACAGCATACATACATTGGCATATCTATTTATTTATCAATCTAATTCCTACCCTCCCTATTCATCCGTTCATTCAAACTTGAAAACTCGATTAGCAAATATAAGATTTTTTTGTCTCTATTCTATCCTATCTCATTCATCCTATCCCATTCATTCTATCCTATCTCATCCTATCCTATTCATCCCATCTCAACCCATCTCACCTCTCATCCTCCTCCCCTCACCCCCCTCGCTTAATCCACCATCTCTCTCTCTCTCTCAATCAAAATTAAAAAAGCGTATTCCAATCTATACTTCTATACCCCTATCATCCTATCATTCATTCAAGTATTATTCATTCATTCATTCATTCATTCATTCATTCATTATCCCTTCTCCATTTATTCATGTATTATTCATTCAAGTATTATTCGATTCTATTCTATTCTAATCAACTCTAATCCATCTAATCCATCTACTTACTCTACGCTAATCTCTACTCTAATCTCCACTTTTCTTTTCTTTCCACTTCAACTCTCTTCTAATGAGCAGAAATAACAATACCAATAATTGTAAACACACCCCTTCCCCTCTTTACCCAGTCTCGTATACCATTTAATACCATCTCAACTTATGCTTTATTCATTCCCTCTCTCTCTCTCCATCCATCCATCCATCCCTCCATCCATCATGTTAAACATATCGAATATTAAACAGACAAACAAACACACCCTCCCCCAAAAGTGATTCCTTCCTGATCATCCCATACTATTCATACAAATACCATTATCATCACAATCCCAATCACAACCCTAATAAGACACCCCAAAGAAACGATGAAACCCCAATCACCAATCCATACACATCTTCCTCCTCTGCCACCCCCTTTTTCTCCATCTTCCTCATCCGTCCATCCATTCATCCCTCAATCTATCCCTCAATCCTGTCTCCACAAAATCCCACCACCAACCCAATCCCAAAAGCCCTTCCCATTTCCATTTCCATTTCCCACTCCCCTTTCTTCAGAATTCCACTCTCCATCTCCATCTTCATCTTCATCCCCATCTCCATAAACATCCCTCGCCCTCATATTCGCCACATTACTCGCCCCACATTCATTTTTCTTTCACCTTTCCTTCCGCTTCCACTTCCACTTCCACTTCCACTCGGTTGACACCAACAACCCGGTTTATCACAATCGTGCATTTCATCCTCATCCTCATCCTATCCTCATCCTCATCCTCATCCTCATCCTCACATTCATCCTCTTCCAATATCTTCCTCTCACCACCACAAACTCCTCCCTCCTGCTTCTCCTTCCCCTTCTCCATCCCACTCAAAACCAACTCCCTCAATTCCTCCACCACACCCCCAAGTCTCCGAATATCCTTCTTATCCCCTCCCGTTCCCTCTCCCACCATTCCTCCCTCTTCCTTCTTTCTCCTTGCTGTTTTATCAGTAAATCTTTAACCAAATATTCTACCCTCTTTTCTTCCGCCTCTACCTCTCTTTCTACTCCCACCTCCTTTCCATTTCCTTTCACTGATATATCAAAATCACTCTTCTCCATTTCTGTATCCTTTCCCCCAAGAATTTCAGTATCAAGCAACCCCTCCACTTTCATATCATCCAATCTCAATCTCCAATAATCTTACACCCGTGTTCACATCCCACAATTCCAGTCAATTTCTCACCCTCCTTCCCCTTTCCTTTCTCTCTTCTTTTACCACCTCCCTTGCTCTTAAACTGACTCGATAAATATCGAAAAGCGTCTCGTTGATCCATAAAATTCCCATCGCTATCAACATACCTCACCTCCACCTTCCGATTTGCTTTATACTCCTTATCAAAGCCCTCATCAAGTCCTCTCAATCCCATTTCATTATCACCACCCCTTTTTCCGCACTTTTCATTCCGAGTCACTCTTCCACAAACCGTCCCGCTCTTTCTGCTCTCCTCCACTTTCTTTATCCTCTCTCTCTCAATCTCTTCACTACTTTCAAGACTTGGCAGGTCTGAAAGCTTTTGTATATTCAAAGGACACTGAGTCCTACTTTCAGATTGACCCCCGGTCCAACCCGCACACAAAGGTACCTCAGATACCAACTCACAATCCCTCACTTCTGAATCCAATACCTTCGAGCCCCTCCCAATCATCCAACCTTGCGCTCCAATATCACCAAGCATCCCCCTGTCGCACTCCTCGCTCTTCTCATCCTTCAAATCCCATCTTTCTCCCTTCATCCCCGCAATCTCCCCCTCCCTCCCCACCTCATCCGCGGACAAGTCTCCCATCTCTCGCTGCGGTATCGTAGCACAAGACTCATCTATTCTCAACCCTCCACTAACCCCCGACTCCCCACTCCCGAGATTTCCCATCGAAATTCTCGAAATAGAAATATCCTCATCCTCAAGCTCAGGATTTATCGAACTCGGTACCATCAGATCTTTCTCAAACGATTTGCTTTGCTTTTCTTCAAGATTCCATCCACCGCACGCATAATCCCCTCCACATCTTTCTCCTTCTTCATCCTTCCCACGATCTTCCATAATCCCATATCCCTAACCTCTCTCATCCACTCTACCTCCTCCAAATTGATCCAATTCCCTCCTTCCTCGCCAATCCTCTCTCTCCCCAATCTTTCCCATAAACCACACTCCAGATATCTTTCAATTTATCTCCCAACCGCCCCCCCATCTTACCCCCAAAATCAACATCCCCTTCAAATTCCCTCTCCAACCTCCAACCATATTCTTCAACTCCTCAACTTCCCTCCTCAAATCCCTAATCTCCCCTTCCATCCCCTCCACCCTCGAATTCTGGAAAATCTTCCCCAGCGAAGAACTAGACGACTTCATCAAACTAGGCGATTTCGGCCGATTAACTTTCTGCAGTCTCTTACGAGGAGATGGAGAGCGACTACTTCCAGCCGGAGACTCCACCGCTAGTAATGGTGGCGAATTAGGACCATCTAATTGAGGCATCGAACGATGTATAATCGTAGGAGCTACACCATTTATCAACACCATTCATTCCAACCCCCAAACACAACAATCAGAGAAACTCACCATCACTAAACTTAACCTGTGAACTACCCATCGAAACCCGTCCATTCTCATCCGTCGTGAAGTCCCACGATCCCAAATCCCCCATCTTCCTCTTCATCTTTCGATCCATCACCGGGAATGTCTTTCTCTCTTCCCTCTCAATCTCAATCTCACTCTCCTTATCCATCCCCTCCATCACCTCCCTAAACCGAGCCATCGCTCCCTCCGAATTCACTTTCCAGAATCTTTCCATCTCCTCTTCAATCTCACTACATCCTTCCTTTCCCAACAACCATTCCTCCGATCCACCTCCACTCGAATCCTTCGACTGATCAGCTCTCAACAAACCAGGCTGCGAGAAAGCTCTCTCTTTCGCCGGATATCGCGAAGCCTGTCTCTCCATCACAACACTCCCCAGTTCCGACGCATTCTTCCCCTTTACCCGCGAACCAAACATCCGATAGCTCGCTAGGTTTTTTCCCACCTTTCTCCCTCACCGTGTGATACCTTCCTTGCTTAGGCGTCATCAATTGTATCACCCTCTGATGCACAGGCGAAAAGCGCTCTGAATCCGCAATCTCGCGTTCATTCTCACGTTCAACAGAGTCTCCACGAATTTCTTTATAATCTGACAAGTGTCCATCATTCTCATCCCCAGGAACACGTATCTTAACTTGTCGACATGGAGAATCCGACAATGTGCAGGTTTCATCATCCAAACCAGTACTCTCAAACGAACCACCCTTATCTTTCGTCAACCCAGTCTCAGGAGAATTTCTTCCTCCCCTCCCCATCACTGGCAACGAGATCGGACTTTCAATATTACTCGAAATCCCATCTAGACTCGTAGTCGCATGATCATCCTTCCTTCGCATTTGAGCCGAGTAATCCCCATCAAATCCCTCAATACAAGTTGTCACCAAGTCACCATCCCCCACACCACAATCCTTAAGTCCACTCGCACAAAACTCCGTCTCTCTCAACGAACTCACCTCCCCCACCATCTCATTACTCTTGCAAGAACGAGTAGGAGAAGGCGAGCAATAAAGACCCTGCTTAGCCTCATGAACCAAACGAGGTACTTTGAGAGAAAATCCCCGGATACTCTCTTTGCGTCTATTTTCTTGCGATGCATCGAGTGCTTTATCTACAGATTTCGATATCTCATCCCAGAGTTGTTCATGTAGATTTTTGACGATTTTTTCCGGCTCTTTTTCTTTCTCTTCTTCTTCGAGATTCAAATCGATATCGATTTCATGAGTAAACTTTATGTCAGGATATTTATCCTTCTGTTCGGTTTCCGAATCTGGTATGCATTCCACATTAGAGTAACATGCCGGTTCATTTTCATTTTCGGAATCGAAAACAAATTCTTTAACTTTGATAGGAGTGGAAGTTTCGGGAGATAGATATCCATCTGAACCCTCAGGTTCTGAAGTATGCACCGAGTCCGTCCTGAAAAGTCTTTCCAGTTCATTTTCACTCTCAGAGCTATTCTTATTGGTGCAGCTAGCAGCTGATATGATATGAGAATCTGACTCATTTTTGCTTCCAGAAAACGCGTATTCATGCCAAACAGCTTGTGTATCTTCAGCAGGTGTGCCGAGGATGTCTGATGGTAGTGGTAAACCCACTGGAATACTATGTTTAGTACCCACTGATTTGTTCTTCGCGAAAATATTATTATCCGAATCTTTGATTCGATCTTCCTCCTCCCTACTTGCTCGAAACATCCTATTATTACTCGCCATGATACGACTGAGACCTTTCAATGACGAAGAAAAGGCATCTGTATCTTCTCTGTTTGAACATTCCATATCCATCGACGCGATGCCTTTCCCCTTTAACTTACTCAGAGTCGATACATGTCCCAACTCATCATGAAGATTGCTATCCATCTCCTCTTCCCGCAACATCTTCGCACCCCTTTCCATCTTCCCAATCGTAATGAGATTTCCCTCACCATCCAGCGACCCAAAATTCAAAGGCCTAACCATATCTTCCTCAACATCATAAGTTGAAACACTAATAACCGTAATAATCGACTCATCGGAATCGGCTTCAGACGCCATAACAGAGTCTATTCCCGAGTCTCTTCTAGGACTTGGACCTGGACTCGATTTCACAATATCTTCAGTGGAAGCCAAACCATCCATGCCCAATCCAAGTTTAGCACTACTCTTTCTCTTCCTGATAATTGTGCCAGTCTTAATAGGTGTTCTCTCTTTTCGTCTAACAGTCTCCTTCCCACTGGCCGAGCCCGAGCCAGCCCAAATATGCATTTTGAATATTTTGTCAAACAAACAAACAAACAACGAATAATGAATGGGTAATACTGTGCGTGGTAACTAATTTACCACGAGAAATTCCGCTTAACTGATACAGTCCTGGCTTTATTCACAGGGAAAAATTGTTCTAAGAGTCAATCAGTATGTCAGTATAAAGATCGATCCAGCATGTCCACTTTCAGAGCCCAGACAATCAGTACCATCCACTTACCCAGATCCTTATCCTTCGCTACTGGGTTCTCCAAACGGACAGCGTCTGGACTCAATGGAGGATCGAAACAAAAAAAGTACGATAATCTCTCTATAACACGAGCGAAGCTCCGAACCGCAATCTTCACCCCTTCTCTGGTAGTAGGCAAAAAGCTATTATAGATGGGAAGGCCAATAGAATAGTACTCGGTTTCAGTGCAAACTTTTTCAAATTGGTATTCTTGTAGTTCGTGAACTGATGCTACGTCAATGCTGTGTTCGTATTCCTGTTCCGTAATTTTGCAGACGCACAAACTACTTTCGAGGATCGTGTAGACTTTGACCACAATCTTGATTTGAATCTTGAATAGTTTCGGTGCCCTGTTCAAATATATAGGACCGCCAGGTGGAAATCGGGGTAGAGGACGTTTTCCACCGCGTATTGGCTTCCAATTACGCCTCAAATACCTCTGTTCTATTGTTGGTAAAACGTGTGTCAATTGTCTTGCAACCAACTTTTCGAATTGATCTCCGATATCTGCGCCGAACAAGAGCTTGATTTGGAGTTGTTGACTACGTTGGCATGTGTTAAACAGAGTCTGTTCAAGTACAGCAACGTACTCTTTGAGATTATCGAGGTTAACTTTTCTGCCGTGTCGTATCGAGCGATGATAGCAAAATTCTTTATACTCTTGTTCAACCTGTTCCTCAAGCTCGAGAATTTCTTTTTGTATATCCTCAACTGGCTCACGCCTTTCTCCTACTATCGGAGATCCAACGGTAAGTGGCAAGCCGTTGAAGCTTCTCTCCAGAAATGCAGAAGGAGGGAGGTATCCCAGTGGTTGTGCTGGCTGTGCCCAATTGTAGGATGTTTGGCTCTGATTATAGTTGCCTTGAAAGGTAGCCTGTGCTGGACTTGATGACGGTAGCTGAGAGGAATTTAATAATTGTTGTTGTCCTTGATTGATATGCAAGGCTCCCAGTGATTGCAAGCTGCCAGGGGCTGGTGAGCTTCTCTGTACGCCCACGTCGCTTGATGATTGAAGAATATGTGCTTCAGTCGAACGCGTATTGAAGAGGCTTTGATTTTGGTTGGGATGTCCGACTCTATATGTCTGTTGTAGCTGAGCTCCCTGCACCGACTGCCCCCACTGCAAGCTCAACCCACGCTGTTCCGTCCCCGTCCGCGTCTCTCCTCCCAAACCCAACTGTTGCAATCTACCTTGCAATCTACCCAACAACGAGTTCTTTGCACCCTCTTCACTCAATCCACCCTCTTCCCTCAGTATAAGATCTAGTCCCAGCTCAAAAGACCCAGCGTTTGGATCCATTCACATCCATTCATATACATCAACAGAGATGCAAACCAACAGAGACGCAAAACAAGCACGATAGAATATGAATAAGAGTTTGAGTTTGCGTTTCGTGTACGTGAATCAGAGTATGGTGGGAGGATGCAGTGTGATGAATGGATGAAGTGTTGTGAGTAAAAAAGAGGTAAAAAAGAAGTAAAAAAGAAGTAAAAAAGAAGTTAAGAAGTTAAGAACAAGAAGTTAAAAGTTAAAAAAAAAGTAAAAATAAAAATAAAAATAAAAATAAAAAACATCCCCAAACTCCCTAATCGGGAAACCACACCACAACCTCTCTCCTTCTCCTTCTCCCTCCCTCTCCTTCTCTCCACAACAAACCCTCCTCCCCCCCTCTCCCCCCAAAAAGCAAGCAAGCACAACCACCCTCCTCTCCCTCCCTCCTCCTCTCCCTCCCAGCTACCAGCTACCAGCTACCTAGTATATATAAAATTCTAAACACCACCAGGAAAGAAAGAAAGACAGAAGACAGAAAGACAGAAAGACGAAGACAGAAAGACAGAAAGACAGAAAGACAGAAAGACAGAAAGACAGAAAGACAGAAAGACAGAAAGACAGAAAGACAGAAAGACAGAAAGACCAGAAAGACAGAAAGACAGAAAGACAGAAAGACAGAAAGACAGAAAGACAGAAAGACGAACGACAGAAAGACAGAAAGAACAGAAGACAGAAAGACAGAAAGACAGAAAGACAGAAAGAACAGAAAGACAGAAAGACAGAAAGAGACAGAAAGACAGAAAGACAGAAAGACAGAAAGACAGAAGACAGAAAGACAGAAAGACAGAAAGACAGAAAGACAGAAAGACAGAAAGACAGAAAGAGTACAACAAATAAATATAAACATAAACAAAATCTACCCACTCACCCACCCCTCACCTTTTATAACTTTATATATCTAATACCTACCTAGGTAAAAATTACTTAATACTTAATACTTAATACCCAAACCACGCACGTACAATTCTTACATTCTAACACATACTCTCACAAAATACAAATATATCAAACAACAACCCCCCAGAACACAAAAGAGTTAAAAAATATAAGTCTTTCCATTTCTCATTCAACTCCCTATCCTGTGCTATGCTATGCTATCCTATCGTATCTACACTCTCCATCCTTCCCTCCCTTCCCTTCCTCAAACCACCCTATACACACACACACACACATCCATCCATCCATCCATCCAATTTACACAATTTACACCACAGCCACAACCACAACCACAATCAATCTCATAAACACCAACATACAACGATTGTTTTAATTCCTTATCCACTCTCGCAACGATCTATCATCCATCCATCCAACAAAAACACCAACACCACCAACAACAACAACAACAGCATAACCAAATCTATCTACAAAACTTTTTTTCGCCCATCTCATCTCATCTCCTCCCTCCTCTCCCCCTACCCTCAACTCTCACCTCACCAAACTCAAACTCAAACTCAAACTCAAACTCAAACTCAAACTCAAACTCAAAGAAACAAACAATAGTAGAGATTGTGTCATCCATCCATCTTTCCTTCCTACTCCATCCCCCCATCTTCCCCCTTCCTCATTCATTGCACCCCATCTCCTTTCTCCCCTTTCCCTTCCCCTCAACCAACCTCCACAATAAACAAACACAAAAGAAACTCAACTACGAATACGATGATGATCCTCCAAATCAACCAAGCCAGTCAATGGCAGTCCCAGAAAAATTCAAAGCAAGCAGAGGAAAAGAAAAAAAAGTGATTAAGATTCAATGAAAGTTTCCCATCCCACAAAAACCTCCCAGAGAAAAAGAAAGTAAAAGGAAAGTAAAAAAGGCGATTCGCTAGATGGTATCATGGTATCTTATCTTATCCTCCACTTACTGCGCTGCGCCTACTGACTATTGTCCCAACTCTACTCCTTATCAACTTGCTATGTATTGTTTCACTCCTCGTGTATCCATCCCTAAACAATCCCTGCCTATACAAATCATCTCCCTATCCCAATCCCAGAATCTTTCTCTTCCACCCCTCTTCCATTTGGCGGCAAAGGCGGTAATTGTTTTTCCAAGCTACTTCTACTAATCATCCTCCTTAGACTTTGCGGTCTTCCTTGATTGTCATTCAAACTGGGAGGATAATCTTTGGCAGGCGTAGCTGGCCTTCTCTCATCATCATCATGTGTACTCCTTATGCTCCTTCCACTCCTTCCTCCTGTACTACTCGCTTCTCCCATTTCCTCAACAACTGGAAGGATCTGTCCCTGTAGTCCATTTGTCCTTTCCGCACTTGGGCTTCTAACTGTCGATACGGTTCTAGGTTCGATATGCTCTCGTCTTCCATCATGCTCAGTTCTCAAGGCTTCATTTTCAGCACGTTGAATGGTAGTGTTGTTTGTGACGGTACGATGCATATGTGCACTATTTGAACGTCGACGTGTAGAACCCATGGTAAGGTTGGAGTCTGTGTGGGGTACGGGTGGGAGAGGACACTCTTCTTCTCGAGCCGCTTCTTCTTGAGATTTTGTAATTCCCTCAATAAATTCGATAAAACGGTCGCCATAAGGTTGAGGGTTAATTGGAGAAATCAGTTTCTTATCATGCTTGAGACCCTCTGTTTTTGTATTAGCTTAGATGACCACCACAAAAATCAAGTTGACTTACTGAAAAGATGTTCGAGTTTCTTAAGAGTGCCATAATGAGTCAGACAATCAATAATCGACAGGAAGAAAATTTCCTCTCCAGGACTATTATCTTCATGTGTAGCTCGAAATCCGCCATCATCACTATAGAATGTGAAATCCTTCTTGTTTTCTTCTTCAATTTCATCCGGCATTCGTGAACTGCTTTGACCCATTGGAATTGGCTTTTCCTGCTTGATGATCTGGCGTAATTCTCTCGCTTTCCTAGCACTCTCCAATTTACTCGGCGTTCTCATTAAAGGTCCAGGTGGTCCAGAATCATCTACTGGGCTATCTCCCCCGGGTTGGAAGACTTGTAACGTTTTGTCCCGTAGATTTTCTTCGTTCCCCTTGGTCAAATCATGTATTCCGACCAACATACTATAATCCATAATCTTCAGTTTTTGCAATAATGCTACATCCTTCTCCATTTGTTCGAAGAAGACTCGTCTCTTTTCCGGCCCAAATTCCAGGTGAAGATTTCGTCGAAGCCAATTCAAGTCCTTGAGCGTCGCACGGGGGTTTTGTTCTAGGTTCTCCTCTTTAAAATCTCGACCAATGGTTGACCCTTTCAAATCGAAGGTTTGATGGACATCGCGGTGTGGTGGGAACAGGTTGTTCATGACCACAAAATGAATCTTTCTTCCATAAGGAATCTTCACTCGATGAAGTCCATAAAATTGGGATAGAAGTGTGTTGGGATTATCCTCCACATGGTGATAGTAATCCTTCAAAATCTTTCTCAAGAACTTATGCTCGGAATGATGAATCGTTTTGATGATATATTTATAATCTCTCGAGAAGTAAAAGAAACTTCCACTCTTTCCAGGTGACCCTAATTCAGAAAGAATGTATTTACTCGTCAAGGACATGAGATAATCCGCAGGATCCAACTTGAACCTTGCCCGAAGACTTCGAAATACCCATGGCGCATAGTCCTTGAATTTGAAATCGTACTTTGCAGATGGGGTCAACTCATTCCCGGTACTGTGTAAAGTATTAGCCAAGTCGTTTCACACATGTTGATTGTAACCTACATATCAAACGAGAATTTGTGCTTGGCCTCGAAATCTGCGTCAGTTAATGGTCTATCAAGCTTCGCGTTCGTTCTCGAAACGGTAAAACGAATGCCCGTCAACATATTATATGCCGTGACCCAATTGACGTGGTTTTGATCAACTTTCGTTCCCACCACCACTCTATCATCATCTTCCTCATCCTTCTTTCTTCTCTTACTCGCACGCTTCTGTCGTACAGCTTCTGCCCATCTAAGTGCATCCTCATCCGGAGGAACCTCCTCGTGAGGCATATTAGAATGTATCGATTGTGTATTGCGTCTATTGATACTCGAAGATCCACGTCTAGCACCTGCTGTAGCTACCGACGTTGGAGAGAATCTTCCACTCGTAAAGACCGCGTCACTACCATCCCTTGAATTTCTACCCGAACTAACTTTAGGTACTTCTAGTGTATGTCGATGCTTCAACTGAGTAGAACCAGGGTGCTGAAGGGAGTTTTGTGAGGGTGAAGAGGGCGGTGGATATGTCGGAGGTGAGGAAAGAGAAGAAAATCTTTGTGGTTGTTGTGGTTGTAGTTGTGGCTGTGGTGAAGCACTTGTAGAACGACCTGGCGTTTCGGGTATAGGTAATGAATTATTAGTAGGGACTGGAGTCGAAGGTAATAAAGGTGACTGATAAGTTAATGGACCTGTGCTGTGAGGATGTGGCTGTGATTGGGGACTCGAAATTCGATTCTGGTGTTCACTATCACTCGTCGTGATTGGTCGTGGTGAGTCGACGGTAGCGTTGGATATGGTTCCATTCGTTGATGCAAAAGAGTTTCTATCTGCGGCACCATTCGATAACCTATTAAAGCCATTTGCAGGACCTGGACTCCTCCTTCCATTCTGGGATGAAGCATTGGGTTGTTCATTTACCGAATATGTACTGCCATTCATGGACGAACGAGATCTGTAATCCCAACTACCTGCGCTGGATCGACCATTTGGTAAGGAGTGTAAGGTTGATTCATGATGCGAATCTCCATTCATTTGGTGCCTGCCAGCCGTCCCGTTACCATTTGAGTGAGGATTGGAGTGACCATTTGAAGCCGCAGCACCATCGATATATAGATCGGATCCGTTCTCCAAGCCATTCCTTGATGAAGTATGTGTTGAGGTTCTGCCATTTATGCCATTTATGCCATTCGCACCATTGAGGGATAGCTTTTCGTGTGAGTTTCGAAGATGGCTGGGGAGATCCAATGGGGGTCGGGATGACGAAGAATACATAGAGCCTCCTGTGTCG